GGTCACTGTGTCTTATGCGCTCTTTGCAGTGTTATCTGCAGCATTTCGCCTGTCTCTCATACCGTCTTCTTTTTGTCTCCACAGAAAGTCCAAGGACGATACCTGGGTGAGCAACAGCACATACTGGGAGCTGAGGAAGGACCCCGGCTTCACCCATGTAGATTTCCCGACACTGTGGTGATCCACCCGAGCTGCAGATCACACACATTTGCACAGCCTCTACTGTGATCCAGACTGGTTCTGATGATGTCTGTAACCCGGTCTTACCATCCACATCCAGTACTGTTCTTCTGTATTGCGGTTCATCCAAGTTATTGCCTTAATAGCAAGTGCTTATCTAAGTTGTGTAAACATGTTTATGCAAGCATATTATACGAATGTTCATCAATTTAGGGCAGTTTTTGCCCACGTTTCCACCCGTTATGTTGTGCAAAACCACTTAAACTGAGAAAAGGAAAACTACTTAGTATAAAGGATGACATTCCTTTCCACAGTTTATCTACACTAGCTTCAAATGTACTGAACAACTTTAGTTGTCGTCTTATCATGGACATTTTCTACCTCTGAGATAAACTAGCCTTGATATGCCATTGATTAAGTGTACACATCCGATATTTATTCTGCATCTGCCTGATGCCTTACTGGTTGTACTCACGTTGTTTAATTTATTTTCGTTGCAATGAAAAATCTGTGTTTTGTAGGGAACAATCAAGAGTTGTTCAAGCAATCTTTAAAGGTGGAGTCAGCGATTCTAATCCAATACTCAGTTTTGTGTGTGGAGTGGGAGAAAAAAAAAAAGCTGATGTTCATGCACAGCCAAAGCTCTGTAAGGTCAATTCATGGTTTTTGAAGTGACAGATTTGGACTTTGAAAGCAAACTTTCATGCAGTTCTCTTCATATTACAATAGATACAGGTCAGTTTGCTATGCAGACAGTCACATTGCCCCTCATATTGAACGCTATGTTTCTAAAAAAGCTGTGACCTTGCACTTTTTACAGGACATAGCAGCTGATTCCAAACTGAACTGTAGCACTGTGTCAGTGTGATTATATATGAGGTGTGGCGAGCACAGTGGTTGGACATAGCACAGGGTATCTGGAGAATTTAGAACTTCCCACTGTGTTTGAACTCTGTAGATGGAACACATGTACAAATCAAAGCACCTCAAAGGTCCTGCGGCCACGACTTCAATTACAACTCCTGTAATGATGAAATATAAAGATGTGGATGATGGAGGAATTCCTGACACAGTCTCTGTTCACAACAAGTTTTAGGCACCTTTTTTTGCTGGAACATGAGCATCAAGCACGGTCACAAATTTTGGGCTGCACGGGGAGGTTTGCAGAGGAGTCCTCGCAGACCAGGGTGGATGAGAAAATTTAGGTCTTGTAACCCCCAAGCAGACAAATGGATGCAGAAAGAATGAACTGGCGTCAAATGTGTCACGTGCAAGTTTCCAAATATGCTTAAGAGTTTTACAAAAATTGTAGGTCTTTGGTAGATAGTTGTGGTCAACCTTTCTGGAGTGTCACCACAAAGATTGCTGCAAGGAAATGTTTTCATATGCAAATTACATTTAGAAGCTTACGGTAGACGAATGATGGCTTCATCCTTGAGAGAATCGCAGACTCGACCTTTAAATCGTTACCGAGCTGAACTTCTGTCTCGTAACAGTAATTACTGCTTTCCGCTCTGACTGTGTGAATGATTGTGCAACTATGAGCAGCTGTAGCAAATATCAAGCCATTCAGCCATTTTTATGTCCACTTTATCCATCGCACCATTGTCTATCTGGACCCTGGGCTGTGGGACCAAAAGTGTCCAAATCTATGCTCCATGAGCTCAAATAAAATTTCTGATTCTTTCTCTTTTTTTTTTTTTGTCGAGTCATTTGTGGCTGTTTAAAGTTAGAGCACTAACATCATTTTACTTAAAGTTCAGGTGACTTTTGTTAAATCTGAGATGATATGTTCACTAGAAGAGTAGATGTCTACTCCCTTGTTTTGATGGTCAGGGATTACCGTGACACCATAAATAACATCACAAACTGTTCAGGTAATTTCAGAGACATTGTAAGAAGGAAATAACAGTATCTAAGAACCCAGGCCTGACTTCAAAACATCATGCTGTGTGGAGTTTTAAAAGCTCAATCCTTCTGTTCACTCATGACAGCAATAATACAGTGACTGTAACGAGCATAAATATAATCAAAATGACCTTAATATGACACCTTAATATATCAAATACAACGATTTAGTTCATAAATATGAGCATATGGGCAAATATCATCCTTTCCTGAGTTGGTTCAGAAGATATGAAGCAGCTGCTGCAAGGCAATTTTGCTCAATTTCTGCAAATATTAAAGGCCTCAAAATGTACCACGTTTCATGCTTTTATGAAAAAGTGAACATCTTTTTCATATTTCACATTTTACTATTACCTCAGATGATGACTTGTCAGGCAGGCAACTCCATCAGAAATGTTGGCTAAAACAGGAAACGAGTACAACAACAGAATCATCAGCTTTCAGGATCAGAGGTCTATTTTATGCATTCAGTCCAGCTCTTGTCTTGTTTTTGCAATCACAGAAAATCTCCTTGAATATGTCCCTGTTGATCTTTAAGGCCATTAAAAGCATTTGATTAAAAACATTTGCAAAGTTCAGTGGGTGTGAAAGCATAATCGTCCTAAAAGACTCATTGCCAAACCTTGCTCGTTACACAACTCCACACATTAATTATGTGAAGTAACAAGTCCTTAAGGTGAGTCTTTACAACCTCCTCAGCTGTGTTTTGCTTGAGTGTGGGGCAAAAATGAAATTCAACTGTTAAAATATAGAACTCCCTCGTCTGTCTTCCAGATTTATGCTTTGACACTCAAAAGCTGATAATGTGTGTTTATGACTTGTTGTCCATTCTACTGTACTATAACCAGAGCTCACAGGTAATATGTCAATTATGGAGGACTGTAAAGGGGATAAACTCTGACAGGTGATGGTTTTTAGCAATTAATTTACTTTTAATGTATTTATTAAAAGGTGAAGTACAACGCTGCCTCTACCTGGTAGAATTATAGAATTAAATAAAGGACACGAAAAACAAAATGGTGATTAATGTCCACCTTAAGCTGGTGCTTCCGACTAAATTTTATTGAAAGTAGAGAACATGGGTAGAACACATACAGTCTATGGCAGAACAGTGTATTTGTGGTTGATGCTAAAGAGCCACTAGGTGGCAACAAATAAATATGAATGGAACTAAGTACAAAGACAGGACTGACAGTCTGTTAGGGGGCTACACATGTAGGTAAACAGTGAAGTTACATCCAGGAACTACTTTTTATGGACAGAACTTTTTTTTGAAACCATTTCTCTACTGCTATTGTTACTAACCACCGTCAGTTCTACCACATCATGTATGTATCCCTATAGGTTTCACATGTATAATTGCTGCGTGTAGTCCCGTAGTTTTTGCACATAGTCCTACAGATTTCTAAGACTTAGATAAACTTTAATGATCCACAAGGGAAATTGTTCTGTCACAGTAGCACAGAATAGATAATTATTTAAGAATATAAATGTAAAAAAGCAAGCAGGAAAAAAAGGAATACAATACAGATTTCCATATGTACAATTTACAATTGTAAAGGGTTTTTTTGTTAGTTTTTTTTGCCAAGTGAAGAAAGACAATGAAAGAAATAATAAAATAAAGTAAAATAAAATAAAACAAAAATACATACTGATAGACTGGCGACCTGTCCAGGGTGTCCCCTGCCTTCGCCCTAAGTCAGCTGGGATAGACTCCAGCCCCCCCACGACCCTAATGAGGATTAAGCGGTGTATAGATAATGGATGGATGGAAAAATACTTTCTACTACTTTCACATGTAATCCCATGGTTTTTGCATGTACCTAAATAAGTTTGTGATGTAATTTCATACAGGGTGACCAAACGTTCTGTATTCCCAGGACATGTCCTGTTTTGATGTCCTGTCCTGGACGTCCTGGTTGTTTTTTATAAAGTGATGAAAATGTCCTGGTCCTGTCCTGGAGGAGGCATACTTTTAAAGTACTGAAATTATCAGGCATCTTTACGTAAACTTCAAGTATCATTTGAGTATTTCATTGCCAGGCCGAGTGTCCTTGTTTTCAGTTCCACATTCGTAAAGGTTTACACACATGAATTTACACAGGCTTCACATGTACACAACACACAAGTGTTTCAAAATTACACGTGCCCCGTGTGAAAATGACAGGTTTCCACTTATTTCACAAAATCACGTGTACATGTGGTCAAAACCACACAGGAACATCTGAAATTCATGTGGTTTTCCTGTTCGGGTAGTGTGATAGCTGGGCAGAAGTCCTGAGAACAACAAGGACACTTCTGCCAAAAATGTCTTACATGCACTGAGAGTATTTTCTAGTCAAATACTTTCGGAGAGTACTTTTTCTCTCCTTTAGATTCATGGAGTGGCAACAGAATGTATGTGGGTGTGTATGTAGGTACATGTATATATGTATAGATATGGGTATGTATGTATTTTGTCTGTCACTCACATGAAGTCTTATTATTTATTATTATTTTTTATTTATATATATAATTTACTTTCTCTATTTTTTTTAATATGTTAAAATTAAAGAATGAATGAATGAATGAATGAATGAATGAAGTATGTAATCTAAATCGTAATTATTTTCAATCAAGACTGAGTGACTAACAATGAATGATCTGCAGTGATTTACTAAAGATTAATTAGGACTACCACAGTGAATGCATGATCCTGACAGAGAATCACAGGAGGTGGGAATGTGATTATATGTGAGTGCAAGGGTGTTGGGGAGATGACATATATATGGAAATACTGAAACACTAGCCCACAAGCTGACTTCCGGTCTGCAGAAGCACGGACACCCGCCCGTATGAAAACATCTGGTTCCGCCACTGGAGCGTCTTATTGTGAAGGGCGGAGCAGCCCTGAGTCTTTGTCCCCAAACACAAACCTGTCAAACTGAACTATCTCAGCCGGGTGCGGAGGAAACCGCTGTCTTCTCTCAAAGTGTGGCTCCAAAGAAAGTTTCTGCTTCTTCACTGAAATCGAGGACTTCAAGGAAGCGGTAACACACTTTGCTTTGTTTTTGTTTTTGTTTTTTTTATGCACACGCAGACTAAAGTCCGATTTGGAGCACAACAACACAGTCCGTTTGTTGATGCTGCTAGCTAGTTTTAGCTAGTTTTAGCTAGTTTTTAAGTGTAAAAGTAATGTTTGCAGGATGCTTCAGTAGGTAAAGTACGAGCTGTACTGAGTTGGGAGGAGTTTGTTTTTAAAGGAGAACAAAGGAGGGAACATGCTAGCCGGTTTTTAGCCCGAGGGAGAGCTCACATGGGTGGGACTGTCTTCTCATTAGCCGGCGCTAGCTTGTCATGACAGGGAGTGAAAAGTCAAAATAGTATCACCCCTTAATGTTTGCGTTGTTTCTAAGTTGCACAGATGATAGTTTTCTCTAATCAAATATCAGGCACAAACACTTTAGACACACTATTTTGAATATACTGGGCCCAAAGTAGAAATTAAATGTGAAACAAGTGAATAAACTTGACACAAACTGAGCAGACCTGAGATTTCCAATCAGCCTCATTGTATGGCTTTAAAATGAGCTGCCAACACCAGAACTGTCTCAGTTTTGGACCTGTCTATCTGTATGTTTGCATCATGGCTTCAGCATGGAAAAGGACTCATTGAAGAACTGGAAAGTCTGATTGTAAGACTTCACAGTTATGGAGAAGGAAGATCAGATTTAAATGGTTGAAAACAGAATCAGGAGGCACAGAAGGAACCATGGTGCCGCTAATCAGAGCAAAAAACAAAAGTCACTTCGACTCCTTTCGAATCAGATGTTTAAAATTAAATCCGTCTAAATAGCCAGATACCACTAAGATTTACAGTTTTGCTTTATTTAATTCATGCACTCTCTTGTATATTCTGGTAGTTTGGGTGATGCAACCTTTTAAATTTGGTTGAAGGGGGAAAAAAGCAAGTTCCACAGGGTGATAAATATACAAACCTGTTCTCAAACACACCAACCACATAAAGTGTTTAAAACCTTATTAACATTTGCATGTAGCTGGTGGAACATGGCATGTCTGATTCTTCCGTAACACGTTTGTTTTGTTCCGTGAAAGCTGTGAATGCGTTTGTTGTTGTTGTTTGTTGTGCAGTGGAAACATGTAGGATAGTAAAGCTACATTAGCTCACAATAAAATGCCATAAAATGTAAATAATTAACAAAGTTACTGCTGATGAGTAAATTGTACTCCACCCTTCCGTTAATTTAGAGACAGTTTGAGTCCTGCTGCTGTGGGATGCTGCAGCTCTTTAATAAAGTCAAAGACAATTAAAGCCGCAAGCGGCCAAGGACGGGTCCTGGCACGATGCTTGTCGGCCTTTGCGCACGTTGGGGTGTGGCGCAAACCTGCTCCGGGCGGGACTCTGATCCGGCGAGTAGATTTCCGACCAGATTGGAGCCATAGACTGTATAAAAGATGGACGTAGCAACCGGCCCTGAATAATGAAGTCAACCCGGAAGTGTCAAAAACCTGCAATATCACTACGTCCGCTAGTCCTGGCTCCAAAAAGCCCTGGCTCCCATAGAAATGAATTGGAAAAGAAGTGATCACATATCACGAAATACTGCATTCCTCCAGCTCAGGATTTTTTTTAAATTAGTTTTCATGGTCAAATCCAGAGATCAGGTGGCCAATCTGAAAATAAATCAATACTGAATTTTTAAAAAATCGTCATAATTTTGCGGGCCAAGGGGCGTGGCTGGCTTGATTGACAGTCGGCAGCGACCATACAGATGAAGCCAGCAGAATGTGGGTGGGCAGAGAGAGCCTGCCTCTCAATGGCTCCACCCCCCTCCCACGATTGTTGCATCACTGGCTCCAAAAATCCAAGATGTCAACCAGGAAGTAGCAAAACCCTGGCTTCATTTTCTCAGTGCAGGAACCAACGGGTGACGCCACGGTAGCTACGTCCAGCTTTCATACAGTCTATGGGACAAACGTGCTTCCGACAGGACTCTGTTGAAATTTTGATAGCCGCTAAGGTAGAAAAGATATAAGTGCAGCCCATTTGCCATTTCCCATCTATACCTACTCAGGCTCTTTGTTTTGTGTGCCCTTTGTCTCTTTTGCATTACCATAAGGTACACAAAACATTTTGCTGTGCACTGTATCGTGTACAACTGTGTATGTACCAAACAATTGGATTGGATTTGATTATCAATGACTTGATTATCTCCCTTGCAGGTTTAATCCAGTTGGGAGATGTTTGCCATAGCTACCAGAAACT